GGTTTGACATAAGTGTCAACCACATAAGCTTCAGACATCTTTGGCAAAATGGGGGTTAGTGAAATAGGGCGTAAGTGCTTGTTTACTTCACGGACAGGCTTTTGCTTTAGCACAGGGACTACATATGCGTGCTTCCATGACGATGGCAAGCGTCCTTCATGGGACGAGGAGTTCAAGATGTTAGATACCGGACCAGCTAAAATGTCTGCGTGTTCCTTTAACAACCATCCTGGGATGTCGTCTGAACCGTTGGCTTTGCACGGGTTCAACTTTGATAGTTTTTTGCGGACTGACTCAACCGACACAACAAGGGAGTTTTCGAAGTAGTTACTGAAAGTAGTGCACAAAAAAGCAGCAGGAAGCGGTGTGAAGCAGTGCATTGGCGATAAGAAAGCCTCATTGATGATGTTAGCCAGGCTGATTTGGTCAATACCCTCATGCAGATGTTGTAGCGATTTCAAAGTGTCACTTCGCGCCGTGGAGGCAACTGAGCACCCACTAAGCTCTTTCACTTCTTTCTACCACTCAGATGGTTTACATTTAAGGCCGTTGACCCAACTAAACCAGAGGAGTTAAATAAATTATTTAAATTTGTTGTTTTACCAGATTCAGATGGGTACTATTTAGGAAATTTAGTGTTCAGAGCTGATACTTGTGAATGTGCTGTCTTAATTTGGTCGAGGGATGGTGATTGAGGCAGTTGGAGGGGGCCTGGGGGCCACAGTTCTAGGCAACTGATCGAATTCCTTCATCTAATGGTGGCTCTAGTAAATATACTGACAGGTCGACAGATAAAGAGTATTGACAAACCTATATGGTCTCGATGTGATTTTAAATTAAAAAATAATTTCTTTCAGTAACCAGCAGAGATATATATATATATGGTGATCCGTCTGAGAAATATATTTTGTAGACCCGAGAGAGAAGGATATTTTTGTTTCCTCTTAATTGGGTTACATTACCCTCATACTGATGGATAAGTTCGTACAAGGAGTAACTAAAACAAATAAAAAACACTTTAGAAAGAAAGGAATGTAACTGAGATTGATAAGACTTACTGTGATGAACCACTCAGTTCATTTATTTGGGTTAAGACGTAGGAATAGATTACAGCGCTAATCTTGAATTAGGTCGATATAATTTAATTTTTTTCATATTTCCTTTCAGATCATGTTCCACTTGGCATGAAAAGAAGCAGAAGTATGGGAATCGGCCAAGAATCGACAACCTGTGAAAAGCTCCAGAATATCGCGCCAGAAACGCTAGCGAAAGGTTCAGTTTGCTTACCAATCGCCTTAGATGGTATAACGCCACCTTTCATATATTCCAACTGAATTATAGTTGTTTGTTTCTGTTTATGCACGTGTGTGTGGGCGTAATAAATAAGTGAGTTCAGAGGTCACCAATCGAGAGATTACCATTCAGAGGAACTCAGCTCAGAGAAGGATATTTCGGAAGAGATCATTGTAGAAGACAACTGTTCAGAACATTCTAATAGAGACGTAAGGAATGTAGGTTCAAAGAATGACAGTTTAGAGGACTATTTCTCGCAGGATAAGAGGCTAAGGGACGCCTTTCCAGAAGAATGAACTGTAAGAGTGAAAAGACCAGAGAAAAATATTCAAGGATATTACATTGACTAAGGTAACATTCCAATAAAAGCATTTCCCGATCAGATTAAGAAAGATGGGAATGATCCCAAGGTGCTAACTGCTGGAGATAACCCTGATACAATCATAGCAGGCGCAGGAGAGTTTATAAAGAGATTTACTGCATAGAGGGACATCTCAGGAGGCAATGTAGACGACGATATTCCAGAAGTAAATGCATGGAGTAACATCGCCGACAAACATCCAGGAGAAAATGATCACGGACTATAAGACTCAAGGAGATATTACAGACCGTTGCGATATAAATGATTGAGGCTTTTTAAAAAATGTTTTTTTTTGTATTACAAAAAGACATTTACGACATATCTGATAGCTAGATAGCTAGAGATCTTAAAAACACGTAAATATAAAAAGAATCGCTAAATCGCGTGAAAACAAATGTACTACTGAAGTATTTCGCTTTCTATATTCTATGGTGGCGATGTATATTATCAACTCAGTTGATCATCTTGTAATACCTCCTCCCCCCCTCTATGATACGCTGCGAACCCATTGACTTCCGCTTTTCACGGTTGAGAGAGGAAATTTGCATATCTGCCAACGCTAAAGAATCACAGACCGTAGTTTGATGTAAATCGAAGGAAAAAACTCTTAAGGTAAGAAGCCTGTTTGACATTTTCTCTGCATGAGCTAATCTCCCAACTCTTAATTTTAAGGTTTGCTGAAGATCTGTTGAAGTGATTGCTTTTGTGATTGAGAAATCTGTCCAATGAGCGTAATTTAAGTGAGTGGCGTGTATGAACCAGCTTCCAAATGCAAATCTGAGAGATTTTCATTAGTTTCGAATCTCTATGAAATGTCGTTTGCGATACTTGAAGGATGACTGACTAGCAAACCAGCTCAATAAGAATATTACTGGTATTTTGAGCCTCGCTCCTTTGGTTCCTATTCGGTTAAAATTTAGGTTGAAGTCGATCAATTAATTCCCCCTCAGAGAATGATCAGAGCCGCCGGCGTGTCGTTATTTCATTATCATTACCCCGCTCCAGCGAATAGATGATACTCTTTGTTTTGATAAGTAAGGCATCACCTCAGGAGAGAATGATGATATGAAATTTGTGTATCTACTCCTGTAAATCATAAGGAGTAAATGAAGTGGGTGACTATCAACCACGTTGTGACTGCTAAGTGTTTTCTTCCTTGTGTCACGCAATGTACTACACATTCTAGCCCACCTAGTTTCCCTTCTTTGAGCAAATTTTTTTAAAGTCTTTTGTAATTGAATCATGTTTTCACCTCCTTAAACAGACTCTTTTGACAACCAGGTTAAACTGGGAACCTATATAGCCGTATTAATGCTGAACTTCCCAAACTTCTATTTATTTTTGTTAAAGAAAATATGTAAAAAGTAAATGGAAATTAGGCTTCACAGTCATTTGCGTATTTAGTTTTCCTAGGTGTTGTCATAAACTGAAAAGCTTGAAAAGTAGAAGGGTAATAAACTTTTTGTGCGAACAATCTTTAAATGTGATTTAAATAAGGATGCAGGTCCCGAGATTTCAAATTACTCGTTCGACCCACTATATATGTCGCTTTTGCTAAAGGGGTTAAGATCAGAGTATTTAGGGTATTTTTTTTACAATTTCTCTTCTCATTTAATCTAAGAAAAACGCATCTAAGTTGTTGAACACTGATTCCTTGCCAGAAAAATCATACCCACATAACGTGGAATGAAAATGTCTAAGTACTATTGAAAAAATCCGTTTTGATCCTCTCCTCTTAAATCATCCATCCATCCTATTTAAGCGGGTACGTTTTATATTAGCTATATCTGTGTTTTGTGAGATCTACCGTTTACTCCGTTGATCTATTTCACAGTTTGGGTTGCAGTCATGAGGTAAGGACGGTCCGATAACTGATCCCGCCTCAGTTTTTCCTTCTTTCTAAATGGCTGCCGCTCTGGACCCAGATGAGGTGCTTCGTTCTTCGAAAGGGAGAGATAATTATCAGCGTCTAGCTCGGCTTTTGATAAGTGGCGGTACTGTACTGTTGAGGGAGGCATTTGACATCAAATGTCCACCAAGTAATCTTTCCACAACACTTCAGAATCCAGCCACGAAGAAGCTACTTAAGGCAGCAAAGCTCACAAAGCCTCAGAGGGACTGCCTGTACCCTTCCCCAGGGATGTACGGAAAGTCAACAGACTTTGATATAACTCTCCTTTTCCGGTTGTTGAGGACAATATGCGGCCTTACTCCTCCTGTCACGGGCTGGGATGCGCTACCGACAAGTACAGATGACAGTTTAGAAGCAGATTTAGCTAGAATCAAATATTACCGCAATTCGATATATGGTCATGTGAACGAGAACATGGAAATCTCAGATGACGAGTTTTCAGTTCTTTGGAGAGAACTCAGCGGGGCTCTGGTGAGAGTTGCGGGTCAAATCAGCCCTGCAAAGGCAAAGGAATGGCAGAATGCTATTGATACATTTTTAAGAGATCCTCTCACAGAGGAAGAAAAGAGAAATGAGCAGGAATTGCAGCGCTGGTACCAGAATGATACAGAAGTAAAGAAATACCTGGAAAAGGTAGAATCTTCAATGAAGCATTTGGAGAAAGAAGCTCAATACGTAAGACAAAAGGTTCGAGAAGAAGCCCAAGATA